GGCCAGTCAGGTTTTCCCATATCGCGGCTTCGGCCAGTCAGGTTTTCTCATATCACGGCTTCTGCCAGTCAAGTTGTGTCTCACGGCGGTCTCGGTCAATCAGGTTTTTTTCATACCGCGGTTCCAGCCAATCAGATTTCTTCTCACGACAGCTTCGGCCAATCAGATTTTTTTATGCCACGATTTCTGCCAATCAGGTATTTTCATGCAGCGGTTTCGGCCAATCTGATGTTTTCACAGCGCGGTTTCGGCCAATCAAGTTTTTACACACCCTGGTTCCAGCCAATGGGATACTTTCATGCCGCGGTTTCGGTTAATTAGGCTTTATCTCACGGCAGTTTTGGCCAATCAGATTTTTTTGATGCTGGGATTTGGCCAATCAGGTTTTTACATGTCGGAATTTCGGCCAACCATGTGTTTCCTGTGAAAACGCTTGTTTGACTGAAACTATCGCGAGAAAAAATCTGATTGGCCGAAGCTGCGGTATGAAAAAAATCTGATTGACCGAAACCACGGTGTCGATCAACTTGATTGACCGAAACAGCAACATGAAAAAATCTGATTGACTGGAACCGCCGTGAGAAAAAACCTGATTAACCAAGGCCGCGATGTGAAAATATCCGATTGGCCGAAATCACGGTGTGAAAAAACCTGATTGGCCGAAATCGCGGTGTGAAAACATCTGATTAGCGGAAACCGCTGCATGAAAATACCTGATTGGCAGAAATCGTGGCATAAAAAAATCTGATTGGCCGAAGCTGTCGTGAGAAGAAATCTGGTTGGCTGGAACCGCGGTATGAAAAAAACCTGATTGACCGAGACCGCCGTGAGAAAAAACCTGGTTGGCCGAAGCCGTGGTATGAAAAAACCTGATTGGCCGAAGTCGCCGCAAGAAAAAATCTGATTGGTCAAAGCCACGGCATGAAAAAATCTGATTGGCCGAAACCGCGATGAGAAAAATCCAATGGGACGACATAATAGTAGACAGAGGTTATGATATTCATACAGACTCTGGAATCAATAGAATCACATAGAATCAATAGAATCAGTGGAATCATGGAATCAGCTTTTTTCCCCTTGAACTATATACTAACGACCTGTACAGGCGCGTGTCACAATTCAAGTGGCATGTTATCCGACCAGCTATGTAGAGTCCATAGGCTTTTTGATTTCAAACTGAATTTTGGAGAAAAAAAAGCAGCCATTTTATCAAAAACCGATGGTTTAGCGGGTCTAAAAAAAAGCAACAAGCCCCTAAAGATATAATCCGTAAGACATCTCGCAATCATACAAATCTAGAAATCAACCATGTCCACAATAGTCATAGCACTCATCACATTTTAACGTTCTTCAGATCCACATAAGAACACGATACTCAAGAATCTCGATCATATTAAACACCAAATGTATCCTCCATTTTTATAAAGTGCGAGTCTTGTGGGTCTTCCGAGTCTTGCAGGTCTTGTGAGTCTTACGCCTCTTGCGGGTCCTGCGGGTCTTGTGGATCCTACGGACCTTGCATGTGTTGTGGATCTTATGGGCCCTGTGAGTCTTACGGATCTTACGGGACTTGCAGGTTTTGTAGGTCTTATGAGTCTTACGGGTCTTACTAGTCTTGTGGATCTTGCAGGTCTTGTGGGTTTTGTGGGTCTTGTGGGTCTTGCAGCTCTTACGAGTCTTGTAGGTCTTACGGGACTTACAGGTTTTTCGGATCTTGTAGATCTTGTGAGTCTGTCGGGTCTTGTGGGTCTTCCGGGTCTTGCATCTCTTGCGAGTCTTGCAGGTCTTACGAGACTTAGAGGTCTTGCGGATCTTGTGGGTCTTACGGATCTTGCAGGACTTAGAGGTCTTGCGAGTCTTGAAGATCTTAGAGGTCTTATGGGTCTTGCGGATCTTGTTGGTATTACGGACTTTGCGGGTCTTTAGAATTATCATCATGATATATATATATTGTATAGACCCCTTTTTTTTTAGGGTGTGGATTTTGCAGCGCTTTAGAGTTATGATCGTGACAATTCGAAAGACTTCCAATAGCCGCACTCTACAGAAAAGAGATATATACTGTACATGTGATCATAATAATTATAAAGAGGAATAAGTTCCGCATTTTAGTTTGAAATCAAGTTTTGTTTTTCTTGCAAATTCAGATTGAAATCGAAAGAACCATTGTATGGTGGTGTGAGAGAAACAAGAGTCAATAAATAGTTCCTAGATGTTTGACAGCGAGATTGTAATACGGTCTCTATTGGATACTTGTTGAACAACCTAGCCACTCTATAGTAACAGACGTGGAGATTAGCTTTATCGCCTATTCGTCTTTTGTTTCTCAATTGTCTTAGTGATGTCTTTTACAAATAGATTAGATACAAAAGGGCACAGCACGTTGAACCGATGATCTTGTTTGTTTTTTTTTTGAAAAGTTGAAAACGTTGCCCTTCAAATAGGAAATAAATTTTGAAAATTGATAAAGAACAAATCGATGTATGCGAAATCTGCAGTATATGGCATGATTCAATGTTCGCACATAAGCTTATGATCGATTTTTGTTCGACCGAGCCATGACTTTCATCGAAACTCAGTACTATTCCTGATTTTAAGTGACTCATTCTTTTTTATATTTTCTTTGTCTCGTTGTAGATAATAATAGACATATATATTACATCTTTTCTGCTCAACAGTTAATTGCAAAAGTGATTACGTCAATTACACATGGCTTTTCTAGTAGTCCCAAACAGGTAAGTTACTTTTGCTTTTTGTTTTATGGATTGGGTTAGAATGAGTTGCTGAGTGATTCTGATGTGGAAGATAAAATCATGTTTCATAGTTGAACGATGATAATTTTCGTGAAAAAGTTCTGATATTTCTGTGATAGACAGAAGGGATAATGTTATCATCAATTTCGAGAATGATGTTTTTAGGAGAAAGAGATAGAACAGATAGTTACGCAGTAGGGTATCGTGAGATGCAAATAAGGTTAGTGCTCGGTCATATGTCATATAGATTGAACATGAAGAAAAAAGCAACAGTTAATCCTTGATAGATCCGAGGACCCAGAGTGAAGCTCTCCTAAGCGACGAAAATTTTCATCAATCAACACAAAAAGTCATGAGCCAGACTAAAACAAATTCCTTTACAGGGTGTCACAAAATCTTTACGCCCCCTATACAACTTAAAGTATCAATGATATCACGAATGTATTTTATACCAAATTAAAGCGCGTCAAAAATTGGATTTATTGGTATTAAATAATAAAGATTATGAAGACCTTTTAATATCGAACTTGAAAAATTTTCAGAAACTTGATACTTTTTTTGGTGTAGAAAAGTAAAGTACCAATGATTCAAAAATGGAGTAAAACATTTTTCTTGGATATTTTCACATGGTTCGATAGAGCTCGTCGAGCTGTACAGAATTGTATATTTCAAAAATATTTTGAGCCATCTTTTTGAGATAAAAAATGTTCAAAAACTTCATTTTTTTTATGGAAGGAAAACACTCGATTTTTCAATAGAATCAGCTTTTGTTCATTATTTTTGCTCTCTCAAATGTTTCGCAACGTACTCATCTAGTGCCGCGTGAAAAACTACATCAAATGAGTATGTTTTGAAACATTTGAAATAGCAAAAATAATGAACAAAAGCTGATTCTATTGAAAAATCGAGTGTTTTTCTTCCATCAAAAAAAATGAAGTTTTTGAACATTTTTTATCTCAAAAAGATGGCTCTGAAAATTTCTCAAGTTCGATATTAAAAGGTCTTCATAACTTTTATTATTTAATACCAATAAATCCAATTTTTGACGCGCTTTAATTTGGTATAAAACACATTCGTGATATCATTGATACTTTAAGTTGTAGAGGGGGTGTAAAGATTTTGTGACATCCTGTAGGATGAGTAGAAAAAGTAATAGTTGACTAGTTTATGGAGCCCGACTTTTGGAAGTATATGCGCTGCCATTTGTCGAAATGATGAGATTTCAGACTGGATTTTTTATATGTTATGTAACTTTTGATTCTCTACAAAATGGTAAAAAAATTATCGGAACAAAATTGAGAACGAATACAAAATTGAGAACGAATACAAAAAAGAGGCATATACTGTCAGTTGCGAGTTAAACAGCCTCTAGGATAATGACCTCAAGGATTTTTTAAGGACTTTCATTTATGAAAACTTTGACTTCACACAAATTAGTACTCTATATTGGATCGAATAGCATAAACAATTTCTTCGAAAAAAAACACTTTTGAACCTTCTCTATAACTCTGAGAAGGGGTATGGGAATTTCGAGGAAATATTTTTCTTGTAATTAAAATAGAATCAATCAGGAAGAGAGGAATAAGAATGCTGATCACAACCATATACTGAAAGTTCATTATTATTTGTAATTTATTAGTATAAAGACCACTTTTGTAGTGGAACATAAGACGTTTTATAGAAAGAAAATGTCCCAAGGTGCCCAATTTATACTACTAAATCACAGATGATAATGGACTTCCAATACATGGTTGTGATCAGCATTCTTATTCCCCTCTTCCTGATTGATCATATTTTAATTACAAGAAAAAGAAATTTTCTCGAAATTCCTATACCCCTTCTAACAGCTATAGAGGAGATGCAAAAGTTTTTTTCTTTTTTCGAAAGAATTGTCTATGCCATTCGATCCAACATAGAATTTTAATTTGTATGAGGTGAAAATTTTCATAAACGAAAGTCCTTAAAAAATTCTTGAGGTCATTATCCTAGAGACTGTTTAACTCGCAACTGACAGTATATGTCTCTTTTTTTTATCCATTCTCAAGTTTTTTCCGATAATTTTTTACCATTTTGTAGAGAATCAAAAGTTACATAATATATTAAAAAATCCAGTCTGGAATCTCATGATTTCGATAAATGGCAGCACATATACTTCCAAAAGTCGGGCATCATAGACTGGTCAACTATTACCTTTTCTACTCATCCTAGTTCAGTAAATGAATAATATACAATATTCGAAGTAGCTCATTTTTTCCATCTTTGTCTGCTCTATCGTTTGGTATATTGCATGAAAAAATTGTCTTACTTCTAGTATATAATCTTAGTAAATATTTATGAGATAACTCATTACTATTTTTGTTGATACTAGCCAGAGGGTGTTAGAAGTAGATCAAGACTAACTTTACAATGAAAAATGGAAATAAGGTAAAATGTTAGGTTTAGTAGCTGTAGACAATGTCCTTTCGAATGCATGCGAAAAATCAAGAATCAAAATGTTGTCAAGTGCCTCGTATACTGCCTCATGCTCATTGCTCTCCTAGAGGCTCTCTTAATGAGTTACGAAAGCGTTAACATGTGCACTTTTTTCGATTTTGTTTTCGTTAAATACTCAACGTATTTCTACGTGTTTTTCCTTTGTTCGCCTGACTTGGATGAAGTGTGAAAAGGAAAAAGAATAATTTTGTTTAATTTATCATTTAATAAACTTTAAATTACATGAAAATAATTTATATTTGAAATAAATTTATATTACTGAATTTAATTTGTGCACAAATTAAATTGAAAATAAATATAAAGTGGTACCCCTACTCTCAACATCACATCCATCAAATAACAACAAGCAGGCGTTTTGACTAGATGAAAGAAACGAAACGTCATTTTATAGATCTATCTATAAATCGATCCCGAACGATCGATGATAACGGAGATGAGATACGAACATAAAATAAAGTAAGAAAGTAGAAGTAGAAATATTATAACCGATGTGAATAAACAATAGAGAACAAAAAACAAGGATCATAGTCTCGGATATGAGTAGAGAAATGAAACCGGACGGATTGAGTGATCATGCGATATGTATCGAAAATGTATAAAGAGAAAGCAGGCAACGACAAAAAAATGTGTATGTATGAGAGAATAGGCATGCAGCAGTTACTCAAAAAAATCGATATCATATTAATTGTAATTTAATTGATTTATTCTAATTCTAAATATCGGTGAAGAAGACTCTTTCTGTTACAATGATATATGTGCATAAATATGTGATTATAGCAGTTAATGTATAGGCTATTTAGAGACTGGGGAAAATTTGAAACAATAATATTTTTAAAAGATAGAGAAATGAAACAGCGGCGATCTGCATTGTCTTTAAGATAATTCATATTTCCTCTTATTTTGTGACCAAGATATTTGGCTTTTGAAGAGAAAGTCTTTTGAGACAAATAGTTTTAGACGTCACGAATTAAAATATTTTTTTAAATAGAATGAGTAAGAAATATTGAGAAGTTGTTTTTTGTAAGCTTTGAGAGAGAAATTATGGAATGCATTGTTATCCACACGAATGATATTCGTAAGGTAACTAAGATTGAAATAAACCATTCGTTTATATTTCAGATTTGATAGGTGAGAGTGAGTGAATATAGTTATCAGAACGACCAAGTAATTTAAAAGTGATCTAGCACTTGCCATAGAAGTGAGAAAGTCATTCATTTACACAAAGAGAATACTCCGAGAATTTTCTTAAGAAAAACATTCCTAGAGATCATATACAAAGATTGTGTATCTCAACAGGATATCATTAATCAAACATAGTTTTTTAGTCATATTTTTCGTGCCATATGATAGTAGTGTTCTTGAATGCATTAATATCCCAACTTTATGTGAAATTTACGAGCAATCTTGATCTTTCCTAAGGCTTTTTATCGAAAAGTTCAGTTTAAAAAGTATTCCTTCAATCTTCTGGGATGAAGAAAATTGTTGCGATTTCCAAATTTGATAGAAAGTACTCTATGCACCTTGTTGGAAAATGTCTCTAACAATCAACTTTTCCAACAGTGTCTTCACTATTGAAAATGTTTAGAACGCATCCACACATCGACCTCATAACAGTTCTGATGTCTTTTGCAAAACTTAATTGGTGAGTTAACTTCACTGTACACAAGAAAAGACTTGGAA